CAAAAACCGCCCTATTAAAAGAAACTTCTAGGACTTCTTTGCCCCCCTCTTTCGAATCCGAATCTACTCTCATACTTCCAATCCAAAATCGTAAATTAAATTTTATGTATTCCTAAGATCAAAAATTTGATAAACTGCCTTTGTGGACAATTTTGCCCAATGTTTAGAAAGAGTTGGGCGGTCAGAGGCTTCGTGCCACAGCTCGCTGCGTGCATCGGTGTTGCCGTTCAAGGGTTAACGTTGACGAGAGCGTGACGCGGTAACGCGTCCCACTTTGCGCACCTCGTGGGACATTGGGACGCGTTACCGTCCCACCCAAGTAGAGTCAACCCTGCGTTGCGCAGTTCGCAACGGCACGTCGAGAGATTCTCAACGCACGCTGTATCGGCGGAGACACAGACGGCTCGAGCATGCGAGTGTGAATGTTCGCGCGAGAGAACGTGTCTAATCGGGCGAAACTGCGCAACGTGGCCGTTGAAAACTGCGCAACGCAGGGTTGACTCTGCACCCAAGTCATCCTTTTTTCTTACGATTGCACGACTTAATCCTAAGGTCTTTGTGTTCACTCTATAGGCCAGAAATTTGCATACTTGAAATCCAAATGGCTCACAGGAAGGCCAAATATTCCTTGATTTACCAGAGGTTTTCCAGACGTTACGGGTATGCGTCTTCATTTCCCGTTTTCTTTTCATTAAGGTAATCATGTTGATAAAAATGATGAATAGAAGCGAATATAAATCTATTCGTATGAGAAGACACAGTTTTTACTGAAACGACCATGCCCAAACTATTTTAAAAACCACTAAAGGGAAAGCAAGTGAAATATGCCTTTTCATGGCTTTAACACGACATTTCGGTTTAAGTTCCATTACTGTAACTCCCGATCAATTAGACAGATCGAACATTGCTGAAAAGACTTTATTGTATCTAAGTATTGCATATTTCACAGCTCGAAATCCATGGATTTGATGTGCGGCGGCGGCGGCGCTCGCAAAAACGCGCTTGTCCCACGAGGTGCGAAAACACAAAACGCGCGATGTCGTCAACGTGTCAACAAGGGCGGCTACGTAAGCAATATTGTAGCACATTCTCTATAGCCACACTAACTTCTGCAACGGCTGGCCCCCGCAAGTCATTATAGCTAAACGCATTCAAGTTTCACCTCGATTCCGGATAGGATGCCGCAAATGAATGCACGGCATAGAATTGAACGATCTCTATGATTTTTATCGCTTTAAAAGCAGCAACCCGTACACTGCAACGAATGTTGATGATGTAACTCTTCATGTATCTGATAACGTGAAAACGAAAGAAGCATTACACTGATCCCACGATACCAAACAGCGCAGATTCCGGATGTATGCCACGCAGATGGTGTGTGTTTACCGGTACCGATGAACATGATATGCTGTGGGCTTCACGCCATCTAAGACTTCTGACACTTCACAGAGTTACGCCCGAATAGTTTATGCATCACATTTCTGTATAATACAAAAGGGGTGCAACTTCGCATTGATGTGATTCACATTTGAAATGAATGTACAGTTTTGTCGAATACAAAAAATTATAGATGAGCTCCGGTGTTGCCATACATACAAGATGACGTAAGGTGATATAATACATATATGACATCTGAGGAAATCGTAGGTCGAATGATAAAACGACGGTAACGAGTATACAAATAGGTCGAGTATTACATTCAGGTCAGTCAAAATACTCAGAAGAATTACGAAATCAGAAGAAATTATAAAGAAATTTGTTGAAATTAGGGAGCATTATATAAACCTTTGAGGAACTTCGATAACAAAACAACGGACTGAAAAAAAAACGGATTAACCTATGATTTGTAGTATAAAACTGGGTTGTATAAAAACAATTTGTTCGTGTGTTTGTTAGTGATTAGATAAAAGTGCTAAAACCTCAAATCAAGTATGAAACATTCCACTACGAAATCTAGATAAAACGTGTTTAGCAAAAAATATGGAATAAACGCTCTGCTAAGAAATAAATGTACAACTAATGTCATCACACTTGAAAATTTCACAACATTTCGATTACATCAAAAGGTCAGAGGGGTTTAATTGATGCATAATCGAGAGCCGACTTTGCCGCGTCATAATTATGTGTAAATATGATTCCAGATTTTGAGCGAGAACGACTTGATGAGACGTTCATGGGATCAGAAAGCAACATGGTTGTAGGGGGCTCAGCATCCTGAAGAATAACCTTTGACAGCAGCCAATTTGTATAATCTATAAATGATCGGGACGCTACTGTCACCATGCCATGCGGGATACCGGCGCAAATCAACCCTAATTACGCGACTAGCACGTCGCTGATCAAGGAATTAGAACTCAATGCCTTACAAGGGAGGTCTTTCAGGGCAAGGTGCGCTTTTTAGAAACGGTTTTGTGCATATTGTAGGGACGCTTGTATGGACCACAAAACCATGTTTCGTTTGCTGAACAGTTTCAGTAGTACCAAAAAGTGGTGAATAATATTCTTGACGGTTCAATCCCCCGCGGCGACTTAATTTTGCAATCAAGACTGGCAGCCACTTGTTCACTTCAAAATGGTGCTGACGATGAATTTGACATCTTATTTTGATATTTAGCGCGACTTGGCATCAAACCGTAGGCGCCAACCCAAATGCAAAACTTAGTCGCCACGGGGGATCGAACCCTTAACAGAAACTTACGCTTCTTTTTTGGTACTGCTATAACCGTTCAGCGAAAATGAAACATGGTTTTGCGTTCCCTACATGCGTCCCTACGATATGCACAAAACCGTTTTGAAAAAGCGCACCTTGCCCTGAAAGACCTCCCTTGTTAGAACATCAGCAAAATATTCTTACAAATTCCTTACCACTAATTTGAGGGATAGCCTCACTCTAGCTGCTGAACACTTCTGCAGGAAACTATTAAAAACAAACCTGCACGAAAGCGTAGTTCAATCCAACGCTGGAATCTTCAGGATCATGACTTTTCAGGGTCGGTACCGAACTTCTCTTCGGTAAGCCAATCACAGACGGCGGCGGGTGAAGTTCTGTCATCTCGGAGACTGGATTCGACGCAGAACGATCCGCTCGAGTGGCACATATGGGTAAATATGATGATGCAGAGCCTTCACTTGTGTTCAAACGCTGATACCCGACATCACCAGTAACTTGTCGCCTCCTCTCACCATCCGCTTCGTCTATGCTATCATCATGCGCACTTACCGAACTTCTAAATGAAACATTAAATATTCGAAATACAAGACAACTTTTGTTATTTATGACACGATGGCATTTGTAAGACCCCTTCCATATCACCATGACCAGCAAAATGAGTGAGCTAAACAGCAAATCTCGCTGGTGTGCACAGTAAATCTATCCCTACCATGAAGCAACGCTTGCCTGTGGATGCGTCATTAACACGTCATTATTTCATTAATAATCACGCTGCGAAGCCAGAGTAATTAAGTGTGAGTGGAGGAACCTAGGCAACAATGCACAACGCACACATGAAATGAGACAAGCGCTAGCGCACAGACGCTTAACCCTTTCGGACCTGAATTTTTCCCCTTGGAGAAATTTTTCTTCTAGCTATTGTTTATTACTTGTGAGCATATAGGTATCATTATAGCGAAATTTGGAAGCTATTCGATCACAAACAAAGAAACTAAGAAGCTTTGAATATTGGCCCACCTACTTAGTTTTTGAGCTTATGTCGAAACAATTCGAAATTTCATAGTTATGCCGAAAACGTTTATAATCTTGCATAATATTATAACCCATAATTTTGATTTAGGAATGGATCTCCTTCAAGTATTTTAAGAAAAAGTCACACTTACTTGGCCGGTTGCGGGGGTCAGCGCCCATTCATTGTTGCATTTGTACACAAATACTTGTAATACTAACAGCAACACACAATGAAATGGCAGGTTCAGCTCATAATTAGGAAAGGGAAGGTTGACTGAAGCAACCTCTAGCAGGATTAGAAAAACTATGCTGTTTCAGCAGCAATGCAAGCGTTTGAATTTGGTGGTGGCAATTGCCACCGCCAGGGCCGAAAGGGTTAAAAGACGGTACCTACCGCAGCTTCTTATGGTGCTAAGAAACACGTGAACCACAGGCAATGAAGGCAATTCACGGGTTGGAAGGGATGGGTTACTCACTGTTTACGTGGAAAAAGTTGAGTGCGAGTTTGCAGTGGACACTAACCGATACTTAGGGGAGAGCGTAGACGAGGACGCTCTTTAACCCTTGAACTACGACTCTTTAAAATTAAGGCATTGATGCGTTTTGTGTAGTAACTAATACTCCTAGCAGCAGCTGATCGTCCCATTTGGCTCGCGTACGCTGGGTTTGATCTGAGATATGATCGAAGGACCATGGACGTGGTGAAGGCCTCGCCGCCTACTCGCCACACCGCTTGAATGGATATTTTTGGAATATGAATCGGCAATTTAGCTACCACTCATAAATACACACTTCACTATCAAAGTGTGCGAAATATGAAAACTACATTTAGGTTTTATGGGAGCTGCGCACAATGACCTTCGTACGACTTGCTTTTGTAACTCATGCAGGGTCACTCGCCTTGACTTGTGACGATTTGTTGTAAGACAAAGAATTTTAATGTCCTCACCTGATCATAATTCCACTATCGCAAGCGCTTCTATCTCAATAAGTCTCAGATTTATGGCTGTGCCTTTGACTACGGAAAAAGTACACATGAGTACCAGTAAAATTGGGTGGCGAGTTCAAAACCCGCAGTCATCCAAGGTCTTCAGAGACTTCCTGCAGACAAGAAAAAATGGAATGATGCTGGGAAGGAGGAGATCAGGTGCTCAAGTAGGCAAACGTGCGCCAATGTAAGCCAGGCCAAATCAGAACAATTTGTTTGCCGCATTCCATCACTGAAGTACCATGTGACCCACGGCGCCAGAGAGAGGACTGAAATTGAAAATCTCATGACTGGATCTTTCTTGAGTGGTCGCGTCAGAGCAAAGGAGCGCGTGATCAGCTATCTCCGGAGAGGAACAATTAGATGCCCGCGAGCTTTTGGAAAAAAGATAGGAAATGAAGAGCAACAACTTATTTTTGACTGTTAACTTTTGCTTTGGCAACTTTTATCCGCCGCTCGCCATACTTTAAAAAAAAGAATGCTATTCGGCTCGCGAGAAATGCGGGTTCGAGTCCCGCCTGGGGCGGAGTTTTGCCCACAACACAGATTTCTTGTAATAAGGATCCACAATGATTGCGCTTGACATCTGCGCTCGAAAAATGAAATAGCAGTCTTAATTAAACAAAATAATAGCTAGACCCGTATCCATCATAGCAAGGAAACTGGTAAAAGGCCTTAACAAAATATTAGTTTGAGTCAAGAGTAGTTCCTCTTTCGTTACCAGTATTTGAAACTGTAACTTTACTCTCATTCAAAGTTATTCAATGATATAGTTACCACATTTGCCCACAAAAGCCCTGTCATCTACCCCCATGCGAGCGGATACTCCTTCAAAACTGTGCAATCATGGATGCAGTCAATGATTGAAGGTGGATGGTTTTGAGGTGATAGCCGTCATCAGCAGGCCCTTTCCAGAAATGAAGCAGAGGGCGGAGAAAGATCAATCGCTTTCTCGAGATCATGTGAATGGAACTGTTGGTCGCGAAGCAATTAATAAAATATAGATGATGCTTCCCTAAGACGATCGAAACGCCGATCAATGAAAGCATGATTTGTCAGTTATTCATTTGTAAGCCCCCCGCGTTGAATGTGTTCTTACAACTTGTCCAATTGTTCGACAGCTTAAAGGGTCACACCATGGTATTATGAGCAAGCTTGACCACTGCTAATCCACGCCTACAGGTAAATGAGCAACTACCAAGCGGAGCCCTAACTGACTTGCTTGGCCGCCACAATCTCAACATGACCTTTTTCATGGTGTCTGTTCCTTCAGCTTCATCCATTTTGGTCAGCCTAACTCGCTAAGTTGCTCAGGAGGGACTCGGATGGTCAACAGTAGTGAAAGTGCTTTAGTACGAACGGCTTCAGTACTGGTTAGAGGTGAGTACAGAAGGTCCCGTTTCGTAATATGTAAGAAAGTCTGCATCCCTTTACCCCTTTACAACCTACTCATGAGAACACTGGAAACGTTTCTGGCAAGGATGGCAAAGACTAAAAGAAGCAGACAGAAGCTTATGACTTAATCACTTAACAACACATCAGCTTATTAATCTAAAATTACCGTTGCAAATGCATACTATCGTCCATCACCTCGCGGTCACACTCGGTGCAATCGCATGTTGGATGACCGCAGATCGCTGCTAACAAAGAGTACTCACTTAGAAAACCAGAAGGTGGGAAAAACATCTATTCCAGTACTATACAGAGTGGCCAGAAACTACGGTAACAAGATGAGGGGTCACAGGAAATCTGTACAACTAGAAACAGATAGGTGGGAAACAAGAAGGTGCTCACTGAAGGGTAATGAATGTAAAACCATATAGTCCTTCCCAGTAGCCCCTGACCGGTTTGAAAAAAGCGCGAAGTCCTTCAGGGAATTCACTGACTGCGGCGTGTTGATGAGCGGCCCCGACCGCGTCCAGGCATTATGAAGCGGTTCCTTCAATCCCTTAACGTCACCATGATGTCAGCGGCAGGGATGGTGTTCCCCACTCTTCGTGAAGCGTGAACCAGTAGATTTGAATTGGGAACTCTAGGTCGCAACTTTCCAAACGCAATAATCTCTGGGCAATTCAGCTGGCAAGAACTTTGCACAAATTTTCTCGTGTGCCGGTTCAACAGAAACATTCGATGAGGTTGCTATTTCTTCCCTTGGTTGGAGGAATTATTTGAGGGAGAAAGAAATCGAGATGGTCTTTTCTCTTCTATTTTATGTTTTGTGGAACAAAAGTCAAAAGCGACGTTATTTTCGGTTTCATCACCGTGAAAACCTTCACTGTTTCCGGACCCAGTTATGTCTGAGATACTGAACATTTGGCTTGTTAGTAATAAAGTTTTGGTCGCTCTATCCATTCATGACTAATTCGACTGTGAATACTTCCTCATCAGCAAAAAAAGGTTGTCAATATGAACTAAGACAACGCCTCCGTCGAGCTCCAGCTCCTCTTCAGTTTGCTCGCCTCATTGGAGAGCTGAGCTGTTCCAAGCTAATGTGCCTCACCCATGGGATGTCTTCTGACGATCACATGCAAAGAAGTGCACCTGGTCCCTAACACGGGAAAAAAATGACCTGCTGAATGTGCTGATTCCATCGCTGCTCAGCGCCTACTTTTTCAACATTGTTCTCAGTAACAACAAAAGCTCCTCTCCCACGTGCAATCCAATCGCTTCTAGCACTTAGCCAATTGTTCTTCGCAATAGTGGTTGTTGCAGCTTTACTGAAGATCCTGATTCGCTTTGCAACGTAACACCACCAGACATGATGAAGAAGTAAGCGGGTCGTTATTTCATGAAGAGCTAAAGGCTTAAACAATCCAAACTAGGTAGAATCCGAGTGGTAAAATTAAAGATAGTATCAATAGAATCAAATGCGCAAAAGCTATACACAAAACCCCTTTCGTTTAATCTTAGAATTGTACACGGTACGCTCTTGTTACCGTAATTTCTGGCCACCCTGTATATTATCTCCGTTTCATAAACAGTCCGGCCAGTCAGCCATTCGCAACCACATGCAACCCACTTGTTGAAAAACAACCGCGCCGACAGAAGGTAATCATAAGAAAGATCAATGCAATGTTGCGGAAACTTTAGTGAACTCGTAACAGCCCTGTTGTTTATGAATCGCTAGCGAAGCGAAACCGGCTCTGTTATAAGAACAAAGAATTGATTCAACTGCAAACCTCGATGAGCATGGAGACGATTTCAAGGACGCACTCTCTTCAATAGTTTCGAAGTGTTGTGAACTGCGTAGATCGATCGCTTTGGGATCAACAGGAGAAAGAAATGTGACTAGATGTAGAAACAATCAAAAAAAACCTCTTACTATTTAAAAAACAATAGAGGATTATAACATAAACATGAACATAACTAGATGAAGCCAGGACTCACGGTGGTGTGAATGGGTGTGCTCGTTTGCGGCTTCAGCAAGTGCGTTTTTCACAGCAACTAGATCCGGTGCTTCGGTGCTCACGTAGTCACAAGATTCTGTAACAATGTTTTGAGCTGTGCTTTCTTTTACTATGAGATTTTTAATGAACTGCTCTTGAATTTTCCTACGACCTGAGAAAGATTAGTCATTGTACTATTATATTAGGTTGTGACATTTGGGCTTTGCAATATATACATCAGCATTATCGGCGATTTAATGCTTCTTATCAGGTATTTGTAGGTGCCTTTCTTTAAAGGAATCCTTGCGAAAATTCTTGCATTCTTTTTCAACATGAATGTATCACTTGTAATCACTAGATGCAATACACAAAGTTTCACGCATGAAGGTTCGGTCTTCGAACAGCAACAAACTCGCGAAGATCCATTCTATGGACATCGAAGGTAATTCGGGCGGAGCCAAAGGCGGGGCATGGAATAAGTCCGCACAGGGGCGCCTACGTATCAGGCCACGCAACGAAAGAATCGGGTTAAAGCGCGTGATTTCGGAGAGTAGAGACAAATTGGTCGATAGAAAGAATGGAGTAAAAGTGTAAGATGTGAATGCAATAGAGCAGAAGGCCAGTAAGAGTTTCTAGTGAAGGCACTCCAAGAACCGAATGTAAGCATCCCCGTCGCCAGCATTTGTGTAAGACGTCCGTGGGCACTTTGAACGCGTAGCAGCCCTTTCTGTTTTTCGAATTTTTTACCAAAACAAATGCAGGATTTCTGTTCTTTCCATTCTTATCGTGGATGATGGGTCTCAGGCCAGTGAATTATGGCTGAAATTGAATAATGATTTTTCCGTGAAGGATTTCTTTAATAGCCGTGACCTTCTGAGCCAAAACCTGGAAGGAGTCTTTCCAGAGTTGGTCGCCGAATTTCTTGTTGGAGGGGTCCTGGGGTGAAACAAGAATGCACTTTCAGCACTAGGTTAGGGCTGCCGTAAACCATTTGGCGCGTCATATGAAATGCATGCTCTCTTACGCGTACCCTGGACACTGAATTTGATGCTCAAAGCATCCGCAATTACTTCTCCATCGTATATGCCCAACGTTTGAGAGTTCATGTCACCAATTTCGCTTCTTTCCGAGGCCATATTGAGAAAGGGCTATCATACAGTGATAAAAGAAGAAAAGCTCTGCTACCCTCCATGTACTAAACAAGGGACTCTTCCGAATCAGCTCCGGAACCTCGCAATATACATTAAAAAGCTGACGATATTTGTGTATGACAAGTTCTGAATTACGCAACTAAATTCTTGAAACTTGGCGATTGAGCGTCTAAAGCTCAATCGCATTACTTGACTCGCAGCATCGCCTGCGTCACGGCGCTTCTTGAGTTTATGAGACAAGAGCGATCAAACATGCTTTCAATCGAAAACGATTCCTCTTTCAGCTATAATGAATGCGAAATACTTCGACATGTATGGTCAGAGAGAAGCATTGCCAGCTAAACTTTGCAAAGAAGGTTCTGACACAATCCTTGAAGATTTCGCAGCATGTACATGTGAACAGCCAAAGACTTTTGCGACAACCTAATTACATAAAACATATATCAGCTAGGTTTTCAAACTCAAATCTGTTAGTGAAGAATAAGTTGACCTACCGTCAAGACTACTCTGTTTAGCTTGCTGAAGCACCAGTTGGCTGGGTGTAAGACCAGAATCCGGTAGGTCCGTGGGATAAGAGAATATCTCCGCGTCCTTCCGAGCACTGCATCCGAAAGACGATGTTCGAGACCTAACATTACAAAATGATTAGGCAAGCTGTGAAATGAATCCCATATTAAAGGTTGGAAGTAAAGGCAAGGATCAAGATTAAGCTGACGGTAATCCAACTCAAATACAGAATATGACAGAATTGAGCTATCCCTGAGCCTCATGTGTAGAAGATCTTTCATATTAAGATTTACAGTACATATGTGTGCCAGTAAAAAACCCATCAAATGCACACGCCGAACATACGAGTTGAACATCTACGTCACGGATTACAATATAAACAACGCCGTAAGGTTCTGGTCCGTAAAAGCATAGTCGATGGGTCTCTGATATAAGAAACCTAGGGTGCTGAGAATTTCTTTTGCTTGCAATGGCTACGAAAACAGGCTGAACTGGAGATAGCGACCAACTACCACAAGGCAAAGACACCAGGAACTCTCGAAAAATTCGAAATGAAAGTGAAAGAGAAACAGAAGATACCGCTAGGTTGATAAAATACGAGCAAAAAAAGCGTACAATTTCTCTGCACCGTTATTTTACACAGCACAGAATTAATTGCAAAGATGATGACTCGGGATTCTGCAGGAGTCCTTCACTATGGAGGACTATTCACTAACTCTACCTTTATTTTACCGAATAACTAGTAAACAATCAGAAATTGTACCTGTTAGGACTATCAACGCTACCAACAGAACCACTTCCAGATCGGCCGATCGTATTTCCGAAATCCATCTCAACAAAATGGTCAGCACCATCGCGCGTTCCCGAAGTTCCACCTTTTCGATTGTAAGGAGTACTACGCCCAGATCCAAAGCTGCCAGAACTTAACCAAACAAAAATGGTACAAATAGAAGACTTGTCGCCAGAGCAGAAATTCCTTACCGATTTCTCGAGTACTCATCTTTCTCAGAGCAATTCAAACTTGTCAGGTGGTTCGCACTAGATGACGACGGTCCAAATGAAGACGAGACTTCAGAGGAAGCTAAACAACAATAACTTGAGTTCAAAGCAAACGTTCACAGTACGGTAGAACACAAGATTACCTAGAGATGCACCAGAGGCGGATGTTTGAGAAAGACGCTGTTGCCGTGACGCATGCTGCGAGATCTTACGGAAAGGCCTCCTGATGCAGGATACCATTGCGATTCTCGAGGCAAAACACAAAGCACAATAAAACTCACGGGAAAAGTGTCTTGCTACCCAATGAGAACGCTCTTTTCCGTGGATCTTCTTGTGGTGGGAGAAGCCCTCCGCCGGAATTATCGCCTCGAAGATCAACATTTTCCACTATATTGCCTTGCAAGCCAGTAGGGCGAAGGTTACAACGACCAGCAAATGAATATGCCCTGAAGTGAGCCGAGTTTACTGCAGAAAAGAATGATAGACGCGCGGCCGAAATTACGGTCGGAAAGTACAGTAAGGTGGTAATTAATGAAAGGAACAACAAACCGAGGTGGATTAGCAGAAGCTCCTGCGGCAACTTGAGAATTCGAACAACCATTTGCCGCCATTGATGAATAACAACTGTCACTACTATCCGATACATACGAACGAACCTCCTCAAGTTTGTATCGTTCATCTGAAATTGATGGTTGATGAAGCTGCTCTAACATCATTGACTAACAAATTATAGCCGCGCTAATATAAGCTTTCTACGAAGGCCAAGCTTCAGATGCGCAGCGCACGCAAAAGTTGGCTTTGATTGTGGGTTGTTATCAACCATTACTGATGCAGTGAGTGTGCATCATTAGCTTTAGACCTGCACCTAGCATATCGACGAGAAGCATATATGTGGAGATAGACATACATGCTGGAACAATGAGATGACTGTTGCTTCCACCAGCGGTCCACTCAGCAGCATGCATAGGTGTATATCCATCGTCTTGTTTATATTGCGCATTGGCGTTCATATCACTGATGGCTTCCATTGATAAACCATCGGAAGCGATATTACCTCCCAGAGAGCAGCGATCTTCCTGCTGTCGATATGGAATTGTCTGCAATACATATTAAAATATCGAAGTGGAAATTTTATAACGGAAATACTGTTTATCCACAAAAGTACTGAAATAAAAAAACAATGGATAACTGTGGAATCATAAGACAGGAATCTGTTCAAAAACAACCTCAGTTCATACCTCGGATAACTGCCGTTTGATTCGTGGTTCCTGTACTGCGCGAGAAATCTGCGAAACAGACATATCCAAAGATCTTGTTTCGTCTGCCTGATCAATGCAAATGGTGCCACCACTGAAAAATTAATTTGTGTTCCCAAATTAGACATGACCATGTCTCGTTATCACCTGTTCTCGGTGTCGTCAGTAGTGGAAGTGGAAGGCGATGAACGCAATTTAGTAGGGGCTGTCATTGCTTGATAAACATCATCTTCGTCATGATTTGTATTGCAGGACGCTCTGAAAAAAAAACGGCTAAAACCTTCTTGACAGACAAGAAAAAATGATGTGTTCTATGCAATCGATGCGCCAACAAGTCGGACGAAATAAGCGCGTAGGTGATATGAAATCGAAAATAGCTGTTTGCACTATACTGAAAGAGGTGCGATGTAAACATTGTTGATGAAAGAAGAAGCTAAGAAATACTACTGCGACCACAATGGTAGTATTTGGATTTTCTACCTTACCACAACACAGAAAGAACAGGGAACCTAAATTTGAACGCGAGACCTTCCCCCACAAGATGCCTACCAATCGTTACGACTAGAACGCTAATATCGCATATTTAGGCAAAAAAAGAACTAACTGAATAGGAAAAATGCTCATTAGACTGCTGCCACGAGATGTGTTCCCAGACTGCGATTGTGATCCGTGTGATACGGACAAAGCTCGGGATCCGAGTGGTGCAGAGCCAGGTCCAGACGGTGTAGACTGCTTACGGCCAACTCCACTATTTGTCGATGCCGATGATCCTGCACGTCTGAAACGAGATATTTATTGAGTGAAAACTTTACGATAAAAATTTCGAACGTATGACTTTGGTATTCAATGCATAGTCATAGGAAAGTTACAGAAAGAAGCATAGCAATTTAGATTACTATCTCAAACACCAGCGATAAAAGCACTCGAGAATTCACATTCTTTTCTGAGACTAAATTAGCATCGACGTTTCATTCACGCAACGCTTCAGTAGCGAAGTAAATAGTAGGAGTGACAGATTTCATCAAAATGTAAGGGGAACTAGCCCGTTGAGAAAAGATGATGTACGCTGCCTCAGTGGCTGGGTATGAGAACGTTCACGATGGTTGTGGTGTGATCTCAGCGAAAGCAGTCCCGGCGGCATTACGACACTGAACCATAAAATGTATTACAAATATTCAACATTTTTAATGAAATACCAATAAGTCTCGAAAGGATTTCAATTAACAATATTGTCAAAGCTAAAAAAAAGTTATTGTAGTAAATTAGAACATTGAGAAAGTCAGCGAATAAAGTTCTGAAAGCATAAAAAGCAGAACTAACTACTCAAAAACTACCCACCCGTTGTTCATCTTCTTCTTTTTCTCAGATTCTCTCTCAATGATAGCGTTCAACTTGTTGTGGATATCGTGAGCAACCTGAAAATAACCTCGCCTTCAGAAGACCAGAAGTTGTGCAATTGCAGAAATTGACGTAAGCTTGACAGTGCATCGATCAAGAGATCATCTTAAGCATATGTGATGCCATCTTTTCATCGAGAATTTAGCCACGTGTGCCACGTGGATTTCTGGCTGCACGAAACAGAGGTTAGATCAAATTTGCAAAATGTCTTCAAATCGCAAGAGGGCTATATACTACAGCAAAATCTTCCGTGCAATCAATAGTGAATTATTTGTCAAACAAATGTTTGCATGGAACAAATGTTGAACACTTTGACGTTGTCTATGGCATAATATCTGAGTTGTGAGAATTAGGGCAAACAGTAGGGAAGGCCGAGCAAGCAATACATTGTATTTCCTTACCATAGTTTTAACCGATTCTAAACTAGTTTCAAGCACACGTCAAAATGTCCACAGAGAGCGAGTGATATGGAGTCGATGAAAACACCTACCTCTTCACTGTCACACTGAGCCCACAATTCGCTTGCACCCATGGGTGCACCTCTTCCAAGCCTCATTAGAAAGTAACGTTCCTGACAACCAAAAAATGCTACACATTTGCGCTGAAAAAAAAAGATGTAGTGGAACCTCCGTCAATTGTGCTTCACCATAGCATGTTTCAAATGTATAATGATATTGATATAGAGAACCCGTTTCGTATCCCCACCAATCTCATTTTACATCGTTTACTCTTTCACGTGTTTTCGTCTTCCTATAATGACTCAAATGCAAGACATGTTTGTTACTCCTCTGACAAGGATTAAGAGATCGGTTGCGATTCGCGCAAGCAATACGTCTACCTTGCTCAAAATTACAACGTCATCAGGCGACGCAAACTATTGTTTGAAAGCAAATAAATTAAGAAACACTTGAAGATCAGCGAATATTGTAATATTATATTAGGTTGTCTCATAAATAGTGTCGCTTTTTCTCAAACAAAAAATTTTCATCTAAATCCCTATGCTTTTACATCGAGTTATATACCATTCGAAAGAGAATTGTCTGCTCTACAAGAATTTGTGTTCTTTTTCCATCTATGTTCCACGGTTTTCAAATTTTAGGTCTGCGAAATGGGAGGTTCAGAAGATAAAAATTGACCAAACCAACAACTATCTCTAATTTTAACTTTCCTTGGGAGAAATCAATTAATACTGTACCCTCTACTTACACATGACCTCTTCTAAACATTCCACCTTTAGGTTGCCGAAAAAGCTTTGCCGTGTTTCTTTTTAAATCGGCTGACCGATAAGCCATACCAATTTTCAATTTGAAATTGTTCCTCGTGAAAGCCGTTGTTTCATATAGAATGGTGTTCTTTTTATGAGTAACTTTTCTGCTCTACTCGCTCAATTGATTTGTTTTTATGTTTGTTGGGAATTAGTTCGAATTTTAGGTGTTTAGGAATAAGGTGTTTTATCCACGAAAGTCACCGCACTTCTCTGGAAAAAAATTGCCCTGATAAGATGAGAAAATCAACCAGGCGTAAATTCCTAACTTAGCCATGACTTGTTCTTTAAATTCTGCTAGTTTTTTAATGTCTCGGCTATAAAAAAATTTCGACCTTGATCTCAGGTAATGGTGCTTGACCGTCGAGTTCTGGTTGAAAAACCAGGTCTGGAAAAGGAACGACGCGACTTGTACTGAAACCCTACGGTGTAATGTTCAGAAGAGGTCATGTATAAGTAGAGGGTACATCATTGATTGATTTCTCCAGAGGGAAGATAAAGTTATAGATAGTTGTCGGTTTGGTCAATTTTTGTCGGCTGGACCTCCCATTTCACAGGCCTAAAACTTGAAAACCCTTGAGCAGAGGTGAAAGACTAACATAGCTTCTTATAGAGCAGAAAATTCTCTTTCGAATGGTATATAACACGATGTAAAGGCATGGGATTTTAGATTAAAATATTTTCGTTGAATAAAAGCGACACTATTTATGAGACAATCTAATATTTTCTGCTATTGTCAGAAAGCTACACTATAATACTTGACGAATACTTACCGGAATCTCAATAAAGTCATCAGTATGAAAAGGTGGAATTCCCGACGATGGCATACCGCATATAGCTGGCTCAATGCGACGTTTACAGAGAACGATTGTGTGAGCATAGAAACACAACCTACAAAATTTGCCGAAATCAGAAGCTGACATAAAACAGCTCAAACATATCATAACCTTACGTAAAGCCTATGAAATATTTCAAAATTTCTTGGGTTTGCTACACGCGAAAATATTATGGCAACATTTGTAGAGAACCGAAGAGGCCATAGGAAAGTGAAAGTAGAGTCCGACAAGAATTTACCTATACCCAATGTAATAGTCATAATTCGGGTTGGCGCTGCGCTCCGTACCTATCAGAAACGTATTCACGAAATGAAGCATTCGTGAAGCGAGCATGGCGGAGTAGAGAGCAAGCTATTTAACAGATGGAAATTACACAGTCTCCACAATATTACGATTTTACATGCCAGCTAATTAAGAATACTGGGACTGTCCGTTATATTGCCTAAAATAGCGGTTGAATATGGTTTGAATTGTACGCTCTCGTTTGAAATCAATTCTAATGCGTTTGCGTAAGGAAGAATTGCAGTTTCTCATACCAAGTGTGATATTTAATTTCACATGCAATTCTTTCATGTTCCATAAAGATGAGCTTCATGCGAAAGGTTCCAGACGTGGTTGCACAAAAGCATTCAGCTTCATGACCCTTTTAACACCATGCACACAGATTGGTTCAGATGACGAGATATGCGAGTTTCTTCGACAAATGAGCGGATAATGTCCGCTCCAATTAACCCCTCCCCCTCCCCTTTTTGACCGGGAATGGCGTAGGCATGAAGAAAGGCAAAAGCTTTTTTTTAAACACTAGTATACTGAGAAACTTGTCAATAATGTTCACTCCACTCCACGCTTTAAACTTTCAATTCCAGATTGAGTCCCAGACTCTGCTTCACCAATGAGTGAAATTCGTGGCAAAATATGGCAAACACCATAACAAAGGAGCAAAATAGGCAATTTCAGTCAACAGGAGGACTTTTATTCCTATTGATCCGTATAACGACAAAGAACAGCGCAAAAAAAACAAGCATACCCTCAGAATCCGGTCCGTGTTTCACATTATAAAGCAGCGCACAAATTAACAAATCCAACTCGAGAACTCTCTCACCTCTTAGGGCCCGCAATATCTGGTAGTCGAATACATATATTCTGCAACGGTTCTTCAGTGCGACCAGGTGGCCTTTTCAACTTCGGCGCACTGACCACTTCGACGTCCCAGGCACACTCTACAAAGATCTTCTTAGGAACACACAACAGTACAACTCTTTCATTTATTCATGTTTTTCTAAAATGGCAACGGTACAAGATGGCTGCCATAAGAACGAGAGAATGCGCTGCCATTATTACCTTCTAATGAAGTGTGCAACACACTCACACCCTATTGGAAAGTTTTCCCCACAGCGACAAAAATGAAATTGAACGTGAACAAATAAATGAAATGAAATAAATGAAAATTACCAAAAAATTCTTGCGGCTGAATCGGCCTTCCCAAACGTAGAACTCTCGATGGGATGAGAGCTGACATAATCGCATTGTACCACTCCGTGTTTTGTCGACCTTCATCACCTTTACCAACATCATCCACCTTTAGACACAACGTCTCATCAGGTCCCATCAAGCACACACATCTTTTGAGCTTAGGATCGAACTGAAACACATCATTGCAAAGGATGGCACTATTACTTAAAGCATAGCAGTAACTTTGCGTTGGAGTTCCAGCATCCAGCAACAAGAGGACGCTAAAACTGCTTCCACCCTAACCTATGAATAGTAATTCCCGCACAGATCTTTTTTTTGTTTTTCAAGTCTCCCCTTAAAGCAACACAATTCGTAAACCCACTATACTGAGCCATGAAATTCCATGAGTGCATCAGTTCTTTTTATTCGAGCACAAAGGAACACAACTCATGATTTGAGAACGTATTCAATTGGCATAAGCTACAAAATTAATGGACGACGACTACTAGAGCGCAGCCATGCCCATAGTAAAGTGAATTCACATTAAATCTCCTTGATTTCGACTTTGATGATTTGTTTTCAATTTTCAACGACGACTGCTTTAAGCCCACCTTGTTGTGCTCTCACTTCCTCCCACTCTTCTCTACGATGTGACTTACTTGACATCGGATTACCATCAATTTCTCAGAAGAAGCGTGAGCATTGGAAGACCGATGCTTCACCAATGCCGTAGAACGCTGCTGCGCCCCTACACTTTACATATTCGAATCATTACCCTCTAACCCTTCTTTTGGATTCGTCACGCTAGCAACGCTCCGTTCTCAGCTATTTGTCGAATAGCATCTAGGAAATTTACTGCCGCTCTCGAACGATCGCTGTTTATTAAACAAAGAAGAATCAACTGCCGCTGGCACTAATGAATAGAAAGTTGTTCGCGCATCGGAAGCAAATGAAGAACTCCATTAACCAAGTCATTTTTCTATAACAATATAAGATTCATACGTTTTTTAGCCAGAACCACAAAAATGAATAAGGCAACGGAAATAAATAAAATAATGGAAATAAAGGAACGAAAAATATTGTCAATCCCATCTCAATGAGAAGTTTTGCCAGGATTAACTATTACTATTACATAATGTGTTGTTAGCACTATTCAATACCAAGGAACTGTAGGTCTATTATTGCCTTGTAAACTATATACGTAACTTTTTGCCTTTCCTTGCTTGCGCATTTTGCGAAGCGATGAACTCATTTCACGATACCCCGGCTGTTTCCATGTTTGACGCAATTCAATGGTAACAGCGTGGCATGTTGGGAAATTTTCTAATATAAATCTCCCCCCCCCCCGCCTTCCCAACATTCTCACCCAATCCCCCAAAGAGACCTGTCGAACACTGGTCGGGGTCTTGGCCTTAATCGGTAATCATTTCTGAACTCCTTACACTGTTTGAGAATGCAACTTCCAAGTTTCCACACCTGATTCCTTCAATACAATTCAGAATAGAATCAACGGTCAAAATGCTCATTTCCTCCCAAATGATTTCAATGTGCCAGCGCTATGTAACATTCATTCACATGAATGCTACATGACTGAAGAGTTTTTCGCTGTTTGTCATTCTTATTGCCTCTCCACAGCGCTCATCTCATCGCCGAAAACAGGGAAAATATGAAATTGATACACGACGCTAGGTTGAAGCTTATGATCAATGAATTCCGCCTCTTGAGCAGACATGGACTAGATAATAGCCAGGCACAGCAATAGCAAGAATGTTCCACAGACATTTAGTTGTTACGGTGACTGCTGATAAGCAAGTTTGGCTATCTTCATGCAGAAGAAAAGATATATGGCAACATTACAAAAAAACAGTCACGCTCCTCGTTCAATTAGAAAATGGAATCAAACAATGATTGTGAGCAAAAAAAGGTCGCATGTTACAAAATGAAAACAGAGCAAACATCTCACATTTGTTTTATAATAAGTAGAAGAATAAATACTGCCTCAAAAGAACGGAACCTAATTTATTTTACAATTTTCCGTAATGAAAAACGTGTCCTCGTTCTAGCCAATTAGTTTACAGAGTGCTTGAAATTCGGACGGAAGTCTAGGCGCAAATTAAAGTAGCACGCAGGTCGATTGACTTGATTTGACCTACTACTCAGGAAGCCCGTTAACGAGACCACTCGCCCTAGCTGTAAATATGACGTAATTCAAATCTGCTAACTTGGTGGCAGGGTGAGTAGCCCCCTGCCGAGGGAATCCTCGACAGAGGGCTCGTATTGGTCATGTAGATAAGAGAGTCGTAATTGTAGGGGTCAGTAATAAGCACATCAGTGTCATCATTGTGAAAGGGGAGACGGAAAGGGGTAACACAGAAGAAAACGAGGATAAGATGTGAAAAACATGACAAAGTATATTCTTTGCAGGTTCAGTTGCTTCATTCCTCTACATTCAAGCGAAAGGAGCATTTGAAAGCAGTGCAAAGAATGAAAGTGCATCTTAGAAAGAAACAGAGCCGGATGTGCACACGCGCCGAGAGGGCACTTCCTCATCTAAAGCCCGCTCGCTTGCCCTTAATACCTCGCCGAGAATGGCAATGTTGTTAGGGACGCTGTCACAAAAAACGACAAAGTGAAGAAATGCTCTGTACGAATGAAGCTGCTCCAAAGGCTATACTTTACTTCAAACAGTTTCTGTCCGCAGGTCACCATCAGGGTCAAGCGTGCGTTGAGGAATCCTCGACATGTCACAGAGGGGGGGGGGGTTCGTATGGCCGCCGCTGGGGAGAGATCGGCCCAACTGATACGTAGGATCATCGTCGGAGGACAAACATTAAGGATCGAATCGATTCCTAGGCCAGAGTATTTCCAATAACAATTGATTCCGTCCACACAAAATCTTCGTGATTTAGAGGTGTCCGCTTAGCAGTCTCAGTGACTTTAATGTTTCATCACCACACAAGTCAAAGGATCCGAAATTCGCACGTTTTCTAGGGATATTTTATCTTTGAAGTAGGTCCTCAAATCCAACGAGATGTGAAGCACACGGCGCATCCAGAGTGGGCCCAGTTGGTTGCGCGCGCTTCAGCTACGGCTATCTGATAACGAATCTTAATTCAGGAAGAATCAAGAGGGTTCTGAAAGAGTTCATGTTAAATTACAGAGAGGAGTACAGTATTCAACAAGAAACGCAGCCTTCAGCGTCAAATTCACAGGATGTTAAGACCATTTTTAAAATTTTTGCAGAGAGAAAAGCACGAGGATTTTGAATCTGCTCCTACTTCAGTATGTAATCGCTCCTGCAAGGAGCTATAGTCGTTGGGATAGTGCTAATTGTACGAAAAAGTACCTTTCGGCGGTACTCGGGCAAAAAATCCTCAACGTGGCCATTTTTTAAATAGGTGAACGTATTTAGCAGTTAGTTGCCTCTAGAAAGAAAAATCTTCTAGTTTATGATGACGTATTAACTTTCCAGATTGCATAAGTGAACGGAGTTATGGCTTTGGAAAGCGTAAAACTTGCACTCATCACGAATTTTCCTCGTGATTTTGCGAAAATCCTTCAACGTGGCATTTTTTGAGTACTGGACGTATGAAGCTGCTTTAGCGACGTTTGATTGAGAAAATCTTCTAGTTTTGTATGACATATCAACTTTTGAATTTGACTGGAAATGAAGCAAGTTATGTGCTCCGGAAAAAGTACAAATTCGTGCTCGTTCTCGAATTTTCCTCGTTATTTGATCTAAAACTTGTTATTTCTTATAACTTCCTATAATTTTCAGTACTGATTAGAAAAAGCTCATCACAAAACTCCCAAATCAGCTTTCAGATTGAAAATTCGTTAACTTTGAAGAAAGTTATAATCATTCGAAGTATTTGTTTCAATTTCAATAGTAAATAAGCTGCTTCACGTCAACGCCAAGTCCAGTCAACACACAGCTGGCGAAAGCTTTCACAAGGTTTCCTTTGAGCGAAAGGGGGACGTGTAAATTGAGAAGCATAATCTGTGTAGTACTAGAATTTGGTAAGTCTTGTGGAGAAATAAACAAAGAAGAGGTGTTGTCATAGTACGCCATTTCTAGTGACTAGTGACGTTTTTTGCTCCGTTTCTCGTTTGCTCGTTTGACAGGACTCCTCATTAACACATTGGCGACCAAGCAGTTTTTGGGTGTTCCCGAAAATTGCTTCCTAATGCTGAAACGCTTCCATACGGTGTACACACCAAACCAATGAGAAAACAATCCGGAAACTGCTGAAACATCATTTGTCTCGTAAAAGTGCTTAATGGCTTCAGACCAAGCAAAATTTCCCCGTCCCGCGAAGGTGAGACTTCGGAACGCTCTCGGAAAATTCCAGCTTCCCACTGCAGAATCCACAAATAAGGTTGAGCACAAATCTCTTTTTTGCCATTTGTTGTGTCATTGAGCTAGCTAATAGCATGCAAAAAAATAACTTTCTACATCAAGGAAGAACAACCCTATCACTGAAAAAGCAATTTCAAGCAACTCTTCTCTAAAACTTTCATTGTGAAAGATGTTCAAAGGATGTGGCCATTACAAGTTTGACAACGTATTCCCAACATAGCACCGCTCAAAATTTGGAATATGCGCAAAGGAATAAAATTCAAGGGGTGTCGCCCGGCATCGGGCGACATTGTCGCCAATGTGTTAATGATGATTCTTTGACTTTTTCACTTTTATACTTTTAAACGAGTTTTTTTTGTGGACGATGGGGTAGCAGGGCTTTTTTATGAGCAGTTTTGGTGGAGAATTAAACAAATTTTTCATAGTTCGGCTTTTAAAGAGGGTTGTTTCATGGACTTCGGCCTTCGGCAGAGGGAGGGGGGGGGGTCGTATTTCCGAATTCTCCTCGACGCCTCGCTTGACCCTGGTCACCATCACATAACACACCCTTCAATGGACTCCGCAATTTTGAGTGGAGCGCGGTTGCACGTTCTATACAGACGAAATTAGACGAGAACGATTGCTTCTTTTCTTAACGCTTGCGCTGGAGAAATGTATTTCAGAGATATTTCGAGAGCTGCCAAGGAATTAGCTTGTAATGGTGAAGAAGGAAGCGATTTTTTTAGTGGCCAAAGTACGTCCTCGATAGGTACTCGACGCAAATATTCCTTCAACCAGGAAAATTGAAGAGAAGCTTAACAGACTATTTAAAAGCAATAATGGCTTTCCAAGACGATTTTCCGTTTTACAAGTCCTTACAAAAATAGAGATATCGTCGTTCAAATAGTAAAAATTAGCATGAAAATTTCAGAGTCCTCGTCGCTGACTCGACGCACTTCGAGGGACCCCACTTCGCCGAGTGAGAGGCTTTTAGAGCAATTGCAACACTGCTTAAACAGGAAACATAGCTCAATCTAAGTCTAACACCACCTGTTCGAAAGGTTATGAAATGGAGAAATAGCTTTTCAACGAGTTTAGATTCCCAAGGTTTAAGGCAGGGCTTCGGTTAATCTGACAGAGAGACAAACCGTACTGGGACTGCCGGTAAATCGCTCGGCGTATTGTAGCTTGACATTCATTTCATTCTCTTTCTTACGTGGTCTGCTCCTCTTTTTCCTGTCATTTTTCTTCATTGCTTTCATTGTCATTGTCTAGAAGCTCTAAATTTTCTAGATCCAAAATAGTTGGCGGTTTTTTTTTCTTCTTACCAGGAACGGATGGTTGGTCGAAGTGGCCATATGTGAAGAGACCTACACCGGTGGATGCGTTTTTAAACGCTGATCTCTAATCTGCTTTCCAAATCTGCCAAACGATCTTCCGAATGGAGTTATGAAGGAAAATAGTGCAGCGATAGTAGTCCGGGTTCACGTGCAAGACGTCGTTGGATCGATTCCCTGGCGGGTTCTCTTTTTTGCCTTCGCTGCAAAATGATTGAAAAAAGGCTCCCAACTACCTTAGTCGATCAATGCTTGCCTCTAGTTACCCGTGCAAAGGTTTTGCGAGGAGTTTCTAATCAGTTTCGGCGGTACTTACTAAAGACTGCACATGGAGCCCACAGAACTCTTGGCAGACTTTTTTGCAGCAAACGAGTGTGATGTTCGTGTTCCGGAGACTGAAATATCCCTAGGAGCAAGTTTGTAGCCAAATTTGAGCTCGACCAAATTTCAAAATAAGCTGGGTGGGTGTCTATTCACTCATCCATCATCCTATCATGGAAGCCTATTAACCTTGAGACGATATAAATTTTTTTTGGTTTCTGAAGAGTGTAAAGCAGTGTCTGGTTTTCTGGTTGCATGATTTCAACACCCACATTTTATTATTTTCAAATTTAAAGGGTCGCCGTCGTCCAACATAGATCAACCCCGGAACTACCGGCTATGGATATGTAGCATGAATGAGTGGCTCGCCCACTTTTTTTGAAGTTAATTCAAAACCTCGAATTTTTCTAGAAATTGGCATCAGAAGTTACTGGACTACTTGAACACAGATCTCACATTCGTTTACTCAAAGACGGCTGAAGTGCGTGCTCCATATACTGGTTTGCCTTAACCTGTGTAGTGTCGTGCAAGTTAGGAAAAATTTCGAAGCTATCGACCTCGAACTCATCCAAAAGCAAGTAGGGCTGACCAATGATGAAGGAATCATGTTTCACTACTGCCAAATAGTCAGTCACAAAAATGCAGAAGGAAAAACATGCGGCGGATCCGAACCACTGACCCCGACATCCCAAGCCCATCACCATAACCAAAACCTACACCACCACCACCCGGTCTCATCGGATCACTGCTTCGTTCAAAGGCCGCTGCTGCTGAGGCCGATTCCCCACTGTCTTAAACTGTGTGAGGGAACGAAACCTCCGTAACTCCATTCAGCGAATCGTTTGGCAGATTTGGGAAGAAGATTTGAGATCAGCGTCCGGAACCACATACCATGATACTTGTATCATTTCATATGGCCACTTCGACCCTTCATCCTTCCCTAGTTAGTCATGGGTCATTACTAGATGCAATGTTGTTCTGTATTGTTCCAGAAAATCGTGATTTTCATAGTTCTCAAAGCTTTATTGGTAGAAAGTTTTCGATATACTGACTCTTTCAGGGAAATCGATCTTTTAGCGTCGTATCAAGACCCTGAATTTAAGGGAAGGAGGGGGAGGAGAGTCGTGCCGCCGCAACCATGCCATCGACACAATTTTCACCCTACGGTGTACGTGTTTAGGTTGCATTAGTGCCCTGGATCCCGATAAGCACGTGGTTTCAGAGCATGACCTTCATTCCTAGGATCTCCAATGAATAAAGATTTCTTCAATTAAAATGTCGCTCCTGCTGTCATTTTTTCAAAATTTGCGCTACGCTCAACAATGAATACCATAAACAACTCCTGGGGCTGACTCACTTTGATGAGTAATGCAATTAAAATGAGACTTGCTATGCTTGCGAAATCTTTCAACCTCTGTATGACTCACCAATTTCTGTCTAGTTCATAAATAGAGAACTGCAGAATACTAACATATCCTGCCTTGAAATTCTTTTATCCCTGTAATCGGAAAAAACTGAAACATTTAGTGCAAAGTAACACACAAACAACAATTGGCTGTGGGAATACAATCTATGAATGTGGAGAAAAACATCTAGTTTGATCAAATATTTCTAATTTTTTCATGCTAGCGCGAAGGCGGTATTGTCTAGTGGCTTACTGCGCGCTGGTTTGCGACCACATCCGACTCGATCCCTGCCCAAGCACCTCCTCAAGGCCTCTGGGTTGTCAATTTGGTACCAGATTCTTCAAGCAGACCTAATCGAGACTGCAGCTTCATCAAGATCCTCAGTGGAAGTCGATAGTGTGGTTTATGCAGAAGAATTGATCAACTTCGAAAGGTTTAATACATACGACAGTGTGACGCGGTTGCGCGTCTCACTATGCAGCCCACTTCAGACAATGTGACGTCATCCCACCCACGTCATTCATTTTCTCTCGCGCTTGCACGACGTCTTCCCAAGTTATTCGCATTTGTTCAACGGAACATACCACAACAACTATACACGAAATGGTTTGCAGTATGGTCAAATAAGCAACAGTTTAGCAGAGGTTTTTTCGAGCCATACGGAATTTCCAGCCCGGTTCATTCCCATTTTCGTTCTATCCTCAAAAACATGCAGATGAAAAAGGGTAGTGGGAGTAAACACAAACCTAAACAGATCGCAAAATATGTATTTCCACTTGAAACCACGTCCATTACAGAGAACAAGAGTAAGGTTTGCTTCTTCATCACCGTTACACTTCCTTTGGTGGGATCTAATCAACCTTCCGAGTAACGTTTAGGAATCAAGATATGTGAGGTGAGTTGGCCGCGCTGGCAAAGCCGCTCCTGTCCCTCGTGGTCAAAATGCCAAAACGCGCGATGTCATCAACGTGTTAAATGACAGTTTATTACAATCCATTCTTCTTCTCGTTCAGTGTACTACGCAGACAAAATTACTAAGTTTCATAGTACGAAGTTTAGAAATTTTGGATTAATTAAGAAAAAATATTGGAATCACACACCACCAAATAATATTTGATCGATGAATCACAATTAACGTTTCGTTTATCCTCTCCAGTACGATATACTTCTGATGGATGACTCCTAATTATGAAAGAATTAATTTCACAGAAGAATGGGGCAAAGCTATTTTAGTCTCGTAAACCCATCCAATTCCATAAGTGTTTCTCGTCAATGCTGAACATACAAGAGTGTGCTTAGAAACGAGCATAGAATGCCCCTGATCCCGCAATGTAAACTCTGAGGAAGCAATTTTTATTTTCCCAAAAATACTGGACACGGAAGGAGCCCTCAGAAGTTACATCAGTAAGCATCAACTGCACTGCATACATGTTAACAACAAGCTTCAAAATACAGATAACAATTTCCGCGTTCTTCGTAAAAAAAAACCCATCAGTACCGATCATGGCTATAAAGTGTACCTTGCCAAGATTTAGAAATGGTTCTCTCTATGTCACGAGGCATAGACTGCATAGATTCTGATAAGGCGAGGGTATTCTCTCTGATGTGCAAGCTATTAGCGCCAAATGTTGGATCAGTGTGGCGCAAACTTATTTCATGTAACTTGATGCATTAACGACGACTATGATTCAAAGAGTGCCTCTGCTTCAATCGGAGAACTGGTCCAGTTGAAATTCATCAATCGTATCAGATTGCAATTGCTGTTGAAGTGCAGTAAAATGATTCATAGCTGTTGTATTATTGTATTTTGTAATACCAAACAGAAATTTCACGTCACTCACATGTTCGTTGTGAAGATTGAATGCTATTGAAAGATCGATGAGATGTCGAGCTGATTTCCGTTTCCTGTACGTCTTCTCACTTTCGTGTAATTCCAGCGCACGCTCGCATAGCACGGCATAATAATTCTTTCTCGATTTCTGGAAATAAAGACGTAATAAACTGCATTACAGGGAATCAACTACATTACGAGCGTCCCTTTTTTATAGAGTTATCAAGTTTTTTTTTCTCCGCTATCGATATTCTTACTTTTTACATGTTTTTTTTAGGTTTACTTTATTTATAAACGGGATCATTTCCATAACTATGAAATTAAGCGGACAGAACTCCGCGACATGAACCCAAAACTATTGATGACAAAATTGCAACAGTGACAAGCAACAATGTATGGCTGAGGACGATAGGCGATTAAAAAAACACGTCAAAATGACTAGTACTTAATGGACGGTGTTATCCTGTCCCTCACACACTACCTTGAATTTTCATTCTTGTTTTCTACAAATGCAAAGCTTACATAAGGTATTTCACTTAATGAGATAGGCCTTGCCTGGAAAACAAAAAAATCAATGTGATTTCTTCCGCACCCCGGCGGAAGGGTAATATATGGGCTCTTACTCCAGAGCCATGAGTTGTGCTTCCCGGATAGGAGAAGGCCCTTCTCTGGTAAGGAACGCTCTCCTCGAAAACTCTCAGGAAAGGCCACGCTCACTGGTTCTCGGGCCCCGTGATTGACATATGCAGTCCAAGAGACATCCCCGAAAACCGGTGGCACTGATTTTTTCCCGAGTTTTCGGGGGAGCATACCTTACCAGGGAGGGGTTCCTCTTCTGTACGAGGAAGTATACATACGGCCCCAGGTCAATATCTCATTAGCGAGAACAACTTGCAACTTGGTCTGTGAATCTTTGTTGTGTTGCAATGATGCTAGATTTTTCATACTTTCCAAATTCAGGACTCCTAACCTTAATGCTATGCACCAACAAACCTTAAAACCTAAGGAAATCCCGAAAAAAAAACAACTGGAAATTGCTACAATGCCACTTAAAAGCCAAATGAAGACAAAAAATAGGCAATGCCGCTTACAACTGCGTGGGTAACGCGTTCAAAAACCACTTGGCAGATTTCCCAGCGCACGACGAAAATGAAAATCCCTTTGTTTGAACATTTGTTATATAGTGTAGATAACAAACATCACTTATTTCAGTCACATTAGTTCGGAAATGGAATGATAATCGATTCAAATGCTATAATTGGAAAACAAACATCGAGCAGAGAACTCACAATGGGAGCGAAACCCGCGACAACAGGACCCGATTTGATGATTCCAGAATCCTCTTCGAAATTTACACTTGGAGAGGTCATTCTTCTCACAGCAGGTGCCGTAAAAGCATAAATATGGGAACCTCAACCATTCACAATAGCAGCTCTTTACTCAGGAAACACATAACTTCTTCACGTAGACGTAGACGACTACGCCTGAAAAGCTACATTTGAGAAATACGCGACCAGGAGCAAACGAGCGATGAGTCGAAAACTGCTATTAAGGGAGTAATAACAAAAACAATAAGTTAACGAGCAGCAACGAAATACTGCACATCGATCAGCGCCCTTCTAATTAGTTACCATGAATAGACACGGAGCGCTGCACAGAGAAGACTGAGTTAAAACGACAAATAGAAGTATTGTATTCGCATAAATAGGTAAAGCACACCTCTAGGAATGATCGGTAGCAACGTACCGCGCCGCGACCGCACGCGAATATAGAATTGAATATCAACTGTTGTGTCGCCGTATTTTGAGGTAATCAGGAACAAAGTGCTCGTCGATGGGTGCTTAACAACAGATAAAACTGCCAATGATTCTATTATAACGCTTCTAGTACTTGGGAATTAACGTGGAGTTGTTTTGAATAACAACGTAAGAGTTCCGTTTAAAGTTGTTGTGGTTGTAGTAATCGACAGAAGTGATTGCATAACGAATTAGAAATCTCACGAATAAATTGAGGTACCAAGTACTACCAAACTAAGCCCATGGATTGAGGAACATCCGAGAAAAACGGCACAACATGGCTGACTAACATAAGCCAAAAAAACTATGGTTACCCACATTTGATCGAGAAACCGAGAGAACAAAACAAGAAGATTTTATCCTGCAACGAGCTAGTGCTCTGTGCTCTATTAACAATGAAGGTTTACTAGTGGAAGTGAAGTTATTATTAACAAGACGTTGGCTGAAACGATCCTGTTTCCTGGTCTAAAAATAGTAAAGAAATGGTGAATTGAAAGACCGGTATGTAGTAGGTTATAACAAGGACGTAGATAGTGTCAACAAGCGAACCCTATTGAAAGACTGAAATCACGTAAAACAAGTTTTTTGTCCGAAACGTGAGGGGAAACGTTTCGCTTCAAAATTGTCTCATTGACGTATTGAGAACGGAAGCGGGCCGAGGAAACAGATAAAGGAACAAACACACCCTTAATGAGAAGATAAGGGTCTTCAATAGGAGACATACGGCAAGTAAATAGCACCTACGCATGCCTTGGTCAACATATGACGTTGCGAAAACTGAAGCGCTGCTGACATCGCTAGTGCAGCAATCGAATAATAGGATTAGAAAACGAGTGGGAGTAGGGTTTAGTTGAAGTGGAATCTCCAACAGTGAAGACTAGTGGGGAAGAATACGATGAGCTTGAGGAAATCCGATGAAATACTGTACGAGGCGTGAAACAATATTGAGCGGTTTTGAAGTGAAGGACAAAAAAGTGCGCGATCGATACGCCCCGTTCCGCATGCCCATCCGCACTAGTTGTGCGGCCGGCTTGACTCAACCACCAATGAACACCGACACGCACACCTCCACGTGTTGTCGCGCTATTGTTGTTAAATAACGCGACACATCATGCCGTCCCGGATGTCCCAGCCAGGCTGTGCTACGCAGAACATCAGGGGTCAATCTCAGCTTGATCCATGCCGCCTTGTGTTGACGCAGTTACTTTTCTATGACAGCTGTGGTTTTTATGAGTGCTATCGCGCACATAAAAACTACAGCTGTTTTGAAATTATTATCTACGTCAATGACTGAGGCCTGTCATACTTGACTTTCGGGAGACTACGAGATCAAGAGATGATAAAGAAGATATGCATTGATAGAAGATTATGGGAATAGGAGATCACGAGATTAAAAGATCCGGATTAAAAGAAGATCCATGTTGGATACTAACGTAGTTGCGAAGGGGAAGGGCAGTCGCCGTCGCGGCACGCGCCAGCCCGCGTCCAATTAGCGATATAGTGTGAACTCGCGCATTTCAGCCTCTCACGCATGTCATGCAGGGTCAACCATTGCGTTCGCACTTTTTCGAAAAAAATTTCGCCCCCTCCTTTTTTTTAGGAAAATCTCCATGCGACCTATCATGAGACTCAGGAGGTTCCTCCAATACTACCCCCCTGACCTCCACCCTCGCCATGATGACTCTTTTTATAGTATTTGATATTTGTTTCTGGACCAATCGATACACTACACTCCGCCCACTTATTTTTCTTTTTTTTTGACAGGAATAAGTTAATCCAGAACAGGTACTACTCGGAAAACCGCGCACATCGCTTGAAAGTATCTTTTTTCCCTTCACGTGTTGTTCGTTGGGGAAACGGAAATGCCAGATTTCGTCTGACCAGGAAAGGCTGTTCGGTCAACTCGACCAATCGGAGTGATATGTGCATCTCTATTCGCGCCTTGAAACACAGCTCAATCTGCTTTCCTTGCCTGCTGAACTCTTCTCTGAAAGGAATTACGAAGTGGAAAAGCGGGGAGACGGTCAATTCAATCGTCAGCTTATGAGGTCACGCCGCTCACGCGGCGAGCATCGTCGCGCGCAGCAGTTGGAGCGGCGATTTCTGTGCGGACCTTGTCTTAACCATCCATGTCCATAACTTGGCTTGGTGACTGATAAGATTAGACTGCTAGACATCAGTAAGCCAGCAAGCGCCATCTTAAGATCTCCGCAATGATTTAAGCCTCACAGTGCAAAGGTCGTACCATGTAAAGGTTATCTTTTTGAATTTAATTCGACTTCTTTATTAATCAGCTGCCTGAATTTCTATCAGGGAGTGATAATCTGGTTCAGCCAGGAAGAACATCACGTTCCAAACAGAGGGACGGTGAGGAAGGCGCTGACATAAGCATTATAGGATAAGGGTTATAGGGGGTTTGTGATATAGCAAGGGGCGAAGAAACTGCATTTCAAGGGGTTAGGTGACTCCTATTCCATATTTTATGACTGAAAACTTCATCTAATCTTACATTCCCAATGTTTGGATACTGAGTTCTCCGCGAGTTCGCCGTGTCATCGCGGGCTGCGGCGGCTCTCGCGGCGACCTAGCCACTGCCACGATTGAATAGTCACGCACCTCTTCCAGTAGACCCACTACTACATATGAGTACCAGAAGTTCACCAGAAAATGCTTCCAACTTCCCATGGAACTTTGGATAGAGAACCATGCAAATCGGTAGTGCACAGAATAATACACAGTATTTAGACCTTTCTAGACAAGTTGTGGGAGGTCCAAGTTGGCAAAAAATGCAGTAAAAAGGGAGTTATGGCACCAAACTGGCACAAGTTCGCCTCTGTCTCAAAAATGAATGTCATATTCGTGACCAGGCCATCTATTTACCCCTCTGCTGTACTGTTTCAAGAAAGACTAAACTCGGCGATGAGCTCGCCTCCTATGTGACGCTACCCTTCCAGTCAACTTTTACCGCGAACGTCTTGCTTGGAATGTTCTCGTGGCAGTTTTGTTCTCGATATTTGTAACTAGCATTCATTACTCTATTAATAACACCAGTTTCCATTCATCGTTCCATGGGGATTGAATGGCAGTA